TTGAGTGACAGTTTACATGGGAGAACATCAGTTTTGCTCTAAGTCTACAGTATTTTGTTCCATTGCAATGATTACAATCCCCTCCATGCATCATCATTCAACAATATTTACTTGTATTTCCCCCTTTTTTTATGTATACAAAAGCACGCAGGAATATATAATCATTTAAGCAATCAAAGAGCACATTCTGTAAGCCTGCCTCCTCTTTCCATGAATCCAGAGTCCTCATCTCTGCCTCCATCTCTGGTGGGGCTGCATCTCTAGTTGGGGTCCCATGTTCCGCTCATGCTTTTCTCTTGATGGTCCTAGGGATTCCTCATTTCCTGGAATGTAATTAACCACTCCTCCCTTTTTGTTACAAAACTTCTACTTTTACAGTTGTGACCATCACAATTAGTTATAACAATTACTCACTACTGAATCATTAGAATCTTATTCCCATCTCCTTTCACCCACCAGATCCATCTAGACAAGATGAAAACTATTCAGTGGGGATTCTAATCCCTACCCTCCCACCCCGCACACTCTGAAACTAAACTCCGTCTTAAAAACTTGTAAGCCAGTCACTTTGTGGCTTTATAGCCCCCTCCCCACCCCCATTTTAGGTAGCCAATGTCTAAGTTGCCCATCAAGGATAGGCTTGATCCTTGACATGAAAGCTCCTTCCCTCACAGTTAGTATTTGGAGCTACTACATCCCTAAGTAAAGGTCAAGTTATCAAACTGTAGCAATTTACATTTGTTTCCTTTATCGCATTTCTTTCTCTTCCTCTAGTCAAGCTCTGACCATCAAGCTGTAGCGTTGTAGCGTCTACTCATGTCTTAGAGTTGGGACAATGTCTTATTATAGGGCTTCCAGTCCTGTCACATAGGTGCTCTGGTAGCGTAGTGGTTATGAATCGGGCTGCGAATCTTAAGGTCTGCGGTTCGAAACTACCAGCCGCTCCGCGGGAGAAAGATGAGGCTTTCTATTCCCGTAAGGATTTACACCCTTGGAAACCCTGTACAGGGTCGCTATGGGTTGGAACTGACTCGACGGCACTCAACAACAACAACAGTCCTGTCACATAGCGAGCTTTCATCTGACATAGTGTTGAACACTGTATAAACTAAATTAATGAATGAATCTTTGCTAAAACAATAAGCAATACGTCCCCCCCAAATAGGCGTCAACTTGGTTGGTCAGGTGACAGCCAACCTGGTCACAGAGCCCTCTTCTCATCTTGTATTATGGAAGAAGTGTACATACTGCCCTCCTGACCTGGTAGATTGCAAGCTTACTGAGGCAGGATCATAAGTATGAGGGGGTTTCAAAAGTTCATGGAAAATAGTGCATTAAAATAATTTTTAGATGAACTCTTTAGAGCCCCTTGGCATATCAACTCTCTCTCCAACCTGACGTTGCTTAGCCGCATTGTGTTTTTGGTGGACACTGTATGAACTTAGTTGTGATCGATGGATGGCTCTCTGAGTTTCTGGATTCCTCCTGCTTTGCCCCTACCATATCCTCTGATCATTGATTGCTCTGTGACACACGTGTAACCTGCAGTTTCAGCGAAAGACACCCATGTCTGTCGCTCACTGCCACAATGAGTTACACACGAAGTAGTTGGAGTTAGCACTGTGGTTGTGTGCCGTGAGTCAATTCCAACTCACAGGGACTCTGTACAGGGCTTCCGAGGCTGGACATCTTTGCAGGAGCAGAAAGCCTCATCTTTCTCTTACTGACCAGCTGGTAGGCTGATTGCCAGTCCAGTGCTTCTCCTACAGAGATACCATATTCCCAAACTTAGCATTAGGAGTTACATTTAAGTGGGGAGTCTTGTTGTTTTTCAGACGGATTGTGAACCTGGTGATTTTGTCTCCCCTGATGTCAAATGCCACTGAAGTCCTGCTGCTGTCGGCAGGATTCACGGAGAGGCGGCCTGGTTCTGCACTACCCACGGGATTGGTTGCAGATCCACAGGGTTTCCATTGGCTGATTTTTCAAGGACTCGCTTGCCAGGCCTTTCTTCCTAGCTTCACTGAAAGCTGTTCAGCATCATACAACACACAAGCGTCCACTGACAGATGAGACGAGGCTGCACTTGAAGCGCACTGGCCGGAGGGAGCCCAGGACTCCAGCATGGAAGGTGAGCGGTGGGAAGGGTTCCCTACTGGAGCCCAAGACGTTTGCCCTGAGTGGGCATGACAGCAAGCTGACCTGAAAGAGGAAGTGAGTAGGAAGGAAGAGGTCCAGGCTTCAGTCGAGGCTGTTAACAAACATTTGTGACCTGGACACTTACTTATCCCACCTGTTAACTGAGGGAGTGAAAATGGTTTCTAGGTTTCCCATTAATTGTGACATTTAGGAACAATCTCAGAGGGGTTGGAAAATTGTTTTGCACCATCAAATCATTTCTGATTCACAGCAACCCTGTGTAGGGTCTCCGAGAGCAGTTGGTGGGTTTGAATTGTTGACCCTGTGGTTACCAGTTCAATGCTGATCTTACAGCGCCACACTAGGAAAATAAGAGTGGAGAAAAATACTCATATTCCAGGTGTCTTGAGCTACATGGCTAGCTATGTAAGCAGACAATAGGAGAGGTCACCTTAATAAAGTTGGAGAGAATTACCCACATCTTTCAGGCCAGGGCTTACACGGGGTGTGAAGCTCGAGAGGAAACGCGTGTTTGATTTGGACAGACCTGAATTCAAATCCCAGGCCTGCCATTTACTAACTGTGGGTCTGCTATTTAACTTCTTTCATCTTGAGCCTCTTTGGTGGTTAAGAAAGTCGGGGGAGGATTATACCTCTGTTCTAGGGCACAGAGTCAATGAAGTAGTTGATCACACCTGGCACTTATTAGGTCTCAAAAAATGTTAGGTCATTTTCTCTACTTTAGAAATACTTTGGAGTCCCTGGTTGGTGTAAAGTGAATGGCTCAAGCCCACCTAGAGGTGCCTTAGAACAAAGGCCTGGTGATTTACTTCCCAAAATTCAGCCACTGAAGACCCTGTGGAGCATCGTTCCACCCTGACACACATGCGGCTGTGATGCATCAGAATGGACTTCCCTTCACTAATGAAAATAGCACATTCTCGGCTACTGGTCTCTGCCCTTGCTTCATCATGCCCTCCCTCCTCAGCACGAGAGTGGCATTCTGGGCATGGACTGCTCTGTGGGGAGCTCGTGATCTCCCAGAGCTGGTGAGCATCTCCTGTCTAATAAGCAGCAGCCTGGCACTTGTGTCCATGGTGGACAGTGTGGTGGTTGTTGCCAAGCACCACTGAGTCGGTTCCAACTCATAAGATCTGTGAAATCATTTGGCCAGGCCCTGCCAAGGCAACCAGTTTCAGCTATCACATTAGGTAGGGGTAAATAAATTAAATGATCAAATAGAGCAGGCTAATTTTTTAGTTGATGATTTTGTATGGCCTGAACATGTTATGAATTTTGGCAGAAAAAAGGTTCCCTAACCCTGCTGTACAGAATTACCAAGAAGTAGCTTGTTGGTTTGAACTGATGACCTTGTAGTTCGCAGTCCCAGTGCTTGTCCTACTGCGCCATACCGAGTGTGGTAGTTGTGGGGAGAATGGAGAGTAGGGCTCAGGTGGGACACCAGGGGCTTGAAGTCTCACTGGCCACACCGTACCTTACGGAAGTAAGGATTCATAATCCACAGGGACTCGGCCCTAGCAACCCCAGGGAGCACCAACAGGGCTTCTTCTAAGTTCTGCTCAAGTAACAGCACTGGCTCTCTGGACTTCCACCTGGGGTCACTGGGGCTCTGGCATATACTTCTGAGCAGAGGCAGTTCACCAGTGTTGGGCTTTCTTCCATCTGAGGTCTTGACAAGTGAATTTCTTCTCCAGACTCCCAGAGACTGGTTGTCCTGGAGCAGAGCGGTGAAGCGAACCGTCAGCAGCAGCTCCAGACAGGGCCCAAGGCCACCTAGCCCGGATGCAGCAGAGCTCGCCTGGCTCATAAAAGGGAAATGTTCTGAGTGGAAGCCAGGACTCTGAGCTTATAGAGAAGGCCTCCTTTAGGAATTAGGTTTTTCATTAGGTGGTTGTTGTTAAGTGCTGTGAAGTTGGTTTCAACTCATAGCAACATTGCAGGTTTCTGAGGCTGTAAATCTTCACTGGAGCAGGAAGCCTCATCTTTCTCCCGTGGAGTGGAAGGTGGGCTGGAAGTACCAACCTTGTGCTCCCTGTCATGAGACAGATGGGGATATGTCCCTTTCCTGGGCTTTTCACTGGCAGGGAACAAAAGATTCAGAACCTCCAGAGACAGGTATCAAACAAAAGTAATAACAGGAATAGCTACCACCTTCTGAGCCATGTGCTTACAGAGGCAAGGTAGCGTAATGGTTAAGCACACAGCATCTGTATCCAGACACCGTGTGGGTTTGGATCCTGGATCTATCACTTACTAGCTGTGTGACTTTGGGAAAATACCCACCTCTCTGAGCCTCAGTTTCCTTTATGTAAAGTTGGGATAATAATAGTACCTATGTTATAGGATTAATGTTAAGATACTGATTAGATGCTTCCAAGGTCTGGTTGACAGGCAGAAAGAGACAAACTTCCTGAGTCTGTAGTTGGTTCCGAACTGCTTAGTGGCACAGGCGTACGATGGCTGTGGTAGTGCTGTGCTCCAGCCTCGGGAAGTGCAGGCTGCGGTGAGGCTCTGGTGAAAGCGGGCTCCTTCCTGCTGAGTGAAGCCTTCAGATACATTCGGGTCCCATCCTGATAAATGTCTGATATTTATGTTGTTGTTAAGTGCTGTCCTGGATAGAGTTTCTGAGGAGCGGCTGGTGGGTTTAAACAGCCGACCTTGAGGTTAGCAGTCTAGTGCTTATTCTACAGCACCATTCCAGGACTCCTTTCAAAAATAAAATATAGCAACCACAGTACGTTCAAAATTGAGCAATGGATCAAATTAACCAACCCTGTTCTGTCAAAAAAGGGGCAAACACTTTATTCACCTGTACATAGCACATATAAAAGCGAGCAGAGTTAGGTTTTCCTCAGCCATCCTCTCCACATTTTGAGTAGTTTTAATGAGCTATAGACCACGGATTTCTTCATGCCTGAAAGAGAGGAGAGAGACAGTGGGACATTGGAGGCTTACTGCGTGTGACTATCTTACAGCGAGGCCTCTTTTAGGACTACCTAGGGGGGGTCTCAGAGACTGTGGCCACCGCGGCTCAGCACAGGGGGGAGTTTGTGACTTCAGCACCCAAAGGTCCCTGGGAAAAGGGACTCTTTTGAGCTTTAAGCATATTGGCAGCATGTGAATGTTAAGGAAGGATCAAGACAAGATGTGACTAGGGACCACAGTCCCTTTCCTGTATTGTAACACCTGCTATGGCAGCGGCCCTAGTGCAAAGCTTCTGCAATATCTCATATGCCGCTACCTGCCCAGCACTTCCCCAACAGCACACTCTGAACCCTTCTCCAGGTTTCTTCTACAAGAAGTACCTTCCTCAGTCCCAGGCTGAATCCGATGCCACTGCAGGCACCTGGGCTTACCCTGTCTGCCAGGTCACCCACCTGTCCGCCACCTAAGCTGTGAGCCCCCTGGGGACAGGCCCTTGTCCTATTCTTCTCTGTAGCCTGCCACTAGAGCAGTACCAGTCCACGGTTGGTGCTCAGTGACTGACCTTCCAGCCCAAGTGTGTGGCTGATGGGAAGGGAGGACAAGGATACAATGGATGCAGTGTTACCTGTCACATTGGATAGGGGCCTGTTCATAGCTGGCATTACGGACCCCTCCTCAGTTGTGTGGAGGAGGACAGCACTTAGTGTGCGATTTAGGGTGTGGCTCAGCCTTTTCCACTCCAAAATCTAAACAGTCTGAAATGCACATCCCTGGCTATGCTCTGCTGATGAGGTGACAGGGCTGTTCTGGACACTGGGAGTGAGGTCTTGAATACATCTGACCTTGTTTCCTGTGAGCTGCTGGGTCCACTGAGAACCTCAGGCAGTGGCAGTGAAAACACAGGGAGGGTCCCAGTAAAATCATCAGTGAGCACATCAAGGTGCTCTGGCCCAGCGTGTCTATTCCTTGATAAGTGGGCCAGCCTCGTTGGGAAACCAGAAGCCGCAAGCCGCCTCCCCTGCCTTCAATCCTCTTCATTTTCTCCCTGGAGCAGCCACTCCGGTAAACTCCACCCACTTGAGCACTGAGACTGGAAACTTCTGACACAAGGGGCTTTTCAAAATTCCAGCCAGAACCAATCAAGAGGCCCAACTGCATAGAGGTGCTGTACACGGTGAGCTTCAGCACAGCAGCCCCAGAGCACCGTTCACAGCTAGAGGAAGACGCAGCACCCATGGTAATTCCCAGCCCAGCTTGAAAACACTTAGTCACACACTCAGAGTGCAAGCATTGGAGGTAAATACAGAAAAGTGCAAAACAGCCCCATGCAGACATTCTTTGCTACCTTTACTAAAAACAGGTTTCTCTCTTGGAGGCCAGTGGGAAGCGTGGGAAGAAAAGCTGTGGGACAGGAGACAAGAGGCCTGAGTTCTAGTCTCAGCTGGGTCACAAATTTATAGTATGACTCCATCTCTGGGTCTCAAAGTCCTCATCTGCGAAGTGACCAAGCTGCACTACGTTAGGGGTCCTCTAACAAGTAGCCCTGGTAGTGTAGTGGTTACGAATCGGGCTGCTAATCTCATGGTCAGCAGTTCAAAACTACCAGCTGTTCTGCGGGAGAAAGATGAAGCTTTCTGCTCCCGTAAAGGTTTGCAGCCTTGGAAACTCTATGCTGGGTCACTATGAGTCCGAATCGACTCCACGGCACATAACAACAACAAGAAGCAGCCCACAAAGTGTTCAGTATCAGTCTGTGAGTCCCTGAAACTGTAAGAGAATGAATGGATTTGTGCACATGTGTGCTTCTGGGCAGGGGTCTGCCACTCGGATTCTCACAGGGACCCAGGACCTGCAAAAGGTTCAGAACCACAGATCAATGGAAAGGTTCCTTCTGCCTTTATACGCTAATTTCAACAGAAATGGAAAATTTAGCAAACTGACAGTGAAGGCTTATCATTAACAACAGAAACTCTTCCAGCATCTGAAAGAAGAACATTTTTTTCAGAAGGACACCAAAAGCTACATCCTGTAGAACAAAACGGACAGATTGTGCTAAGTAAAATCAAGAAGTTCTGTTGATTTGAAGAGGGAAGCCCCTGAGTGGGGACGACTTCTACATCCCACATATCCAGAAAGGACGTGCACGGAGACCATAAGGGACTAACTCACGGGAAGAGAGATGTCAGTGGTGGCGGAATAAGCTAGAGGAGTGTAATCAATGTCACGTAACTAAATGTGCAGAAACTGTTGAGTTGGTGTATGTTTTATGGCTATTTTCCCACAATAAATTAAAAACAGCAAAAAAAAAAACAAAACAAAACCAGACTACTCAATAGAGAAAGGAGTACAAGGGCTAGAACAAGCACTTCACAAAAGAGAAAATCCAAACAAACATGAAAAAGTACTCAATGAAAATAAAACAGAGATATTAAACCAAGTATTGGCCAAGAGGAGTCCTGGCTGGGGCAAATGGTTAATGCATACAGTTGGTAACCAAAAGGTTGGAGGTTTCAGAGGTGCCTTGGAAGAAAGACCTGGCAATTAGGTTTGAAAAAGCAGTCAGTGAACACTCTATGGTGGTGGTGGTGGTGGTATGCTGTGGAGTCAGTTTCAACTCACAGCCATCCTGCGTAGGGTTTCCGAGGATAAATGGTTACGGAAGCAAAAATCTTCATCTTTCTCCCACGGAATGGCTAGTAGTTTTCAACTGCTGACCTTGAGGTTAAAAGACCGACTCATCTAATATTTATCCTGTATGCTGAGCAAGTCATCTGAGAAACTGGGTTATACAAAGAAAAATGTGGCATCAGGATTGGAGGAAGACTCATTAACAACCTACGATATGCAGATGATACAACCTTGCTTGCTGAAAGTGAAGAGGACTTGAAACATTTACTGATGAAGATCAAAGGGCACAGCCTTCAGTATGGATTACATCTCAATGTAAAGAAAATAAAAATCCTCATCACTGTACCAAAAAAAACCCCCCAAACACATTCTTATCATTGGAGAAAAGATTGAAGTTGTCAAGGACTTCATTCTTCTTGAATCAACTATCAACACTTGCGGAAGCAGCAGTCAAGAAATCAAACGACATATTGCATCAAGCAATTCTGCTGCATAAGACCTTTTTAAAGCGTTGAGAGCAAAAATGTCAGCTTGAGGACTAAGGTGCGCCTGACCCATATGAGGTTATTTTCAATAACCTCATATGAAAGTTGGACAGTACATATGGAAGACCATAGAAGAATTGATGCCTTTGAGTTATGGTTTTGGAGGAGAATATTGAAAGTGCCATGGTCAGCCAAAAGAACCAACAGATCTGTGTTGGAAGAAATGCAACTAGAGTGCTCCTTGGCGGCCAAGATGGCCAAACTTCATCTCTCATACTTCGGACATATTGTCAGGAGGAACCAGTCGCTCGAGAAGGATATCATGTTTGGTAAGGTGGAGGGTCAGAGAAAAAGAGGAAGACCCCCAACGAGATGGATTAGCCAAGTGGCAGCATCAATGGACTCAAGTGTGCCAATAGTAGCAAGGTTGGCCCAGGATCGGGCAGTGTTTTGTTCTGCTGTGCATAAGGTCGCTATGAGTCAGTACCAACTTGATGGCACCTAACAACAACTAAATCTGATCACTCACATACTTTATTGTTGTTGTGTTGTTGAGTCAGTTCGGACTCATAGTGACCCTGTATAGGGTTTCCAAGAAGCAGCTGGTAGGCTTGAACTGCTGACCTTGCAGGTAGCAGTGCAGTGTTTATCCTACTGTTACCTGTGATAAAAGCTACCAAGTTACCTGAGTCCTGGTGTGGTGCTGAGGGTTAATGCACCAAACTGCAAAACTGTTTGAATTGCAAGATTGGCAGTTCAAGCTCACCAACTGCTCCTCGGAAACCCTCTATAAGGTCGCTATGGGTCGGAATCAACTCAACGGCACTTAACAACAACCTGTTTCCTAGCAGAAATGCAGATACAGATTCACCAACACAGGTTCAGAAACACAGCAACACTACTTCCAATTGTCTCCAATGGGAGACCATCCAAGTAGCCATCAACAACAGATGGCACCAATACACGGTGGTCAGTCAGTCAGTCAGTTGGATCCTGTCATGTGGCGACAACAGAAGAACTCGTCTTACTCCCCAGAGAGCAAACCTCACACCTGTTAGGAGGAGCGAAAGCAGCTAGACACATATGAGGATATGGTTCTGTTTAAGGTGAGAGGAGAGTTCAAAAACAGGCAATGCAGAACCATGGTGTCAGAAGTCACAATAGTTGTTATCCTTGTTACTGACTGGGTGCAGATACTGTTCTATTGCTTGACTTTTAGTGGGACGTCCTCAGCATTATGATGCTGTACCCAGGTTCCGAATGACCGGCATTTGTACAGCTCACACTCATACTTGGGTGCTAGGTCCATGAGTGTGTTCACTTTGTGGGACATCCTCAGTGTTATGACTCTGTACCCAGGTTACGAATGTCCGGCATTCGTACAGCTCACTCATACTTGTATTTTTAATGCTATGTTTTGCCCTCACTTGGAAAAGACTGAACCCACCCGTATTCACAAAAAATTCTTCATCACAATCACCTTCTCTTGCTGCACATGCAGTTTTCAAGCCACTGAAAAGACACCAAGCCTCTTCTTGCACCAAAGTAAGGCTAGGTAAGCTCCATGGGCACCTGCTTCGGCTGGTCTACAAGTTATTAAAGGCACAGTTTGGAACAGATCTCCTTCCTAAGCGGGGACTGCTGCAGTTGCTACATTTCAATAAGAAGTTTTTACTTAAGATGGTTTATTTTAATGGAAATTCTTCCTATTTCCAGAAGATTTAGCATCTTTCCTTTATTCAGTCAGAACAGAACAAGAGCTTATTTGGGAAGCTATATAGTTGAAGCCCTGGTGTGGGGCTGTAGGATAAACACTGGACTGCTGAGTCAGAATTGATGGCACTTCACAACAACATATATATGCAGATGTAAAACA